GGTCATTATCTCATGGTAGTCTTTAACGATCATTAGATGAGAAAAAGAGATACGCCCTAAAACAAAAACACTCTCTAGCTTTCTGGCTCGAAGATTCCTAGCTTCTTCACCGGAGAGGATTCATTGACGTTGGATCGTGCATCGGGAAACTGGATTGCGTGGATACCATAGTCGAGGACATGACGAACAACGGTAAGTTTTCGTTGATCATTCACGCGATCTAGGATCACATCGAATAGCTATAGCCGGATCTTCGTTGTTGGTAAGAAAAATTTTAAATTCCGCTGTGCGTACGCTAGGTTCGTACGTCTAAAATCCAACAAAAGATTCGCGTCCACTTGCATAACATTATTCAGAATTCAAAAGTAAACCAAGGACAATGTAATATAATATTATAGATTAAATTATATTAGTACAACACCGCTTGTTGAATTGAAGGCATACAACACACTCAGACATGGCCAAGGTCGAACCGGCTCGCACCGGCTCGGAACCGTCCTGGTAAAGCTGGTTTTTTGAACTGGCCTGGAACCTCTTAAGGGTCGGTTCAGGATCGTGTTTTAGTCCTTTTTTATCCATGGGGTTGGGCAGGTTCCGGTCCGGTCCCGAGTCGGAACGGGTCACAATTTTTTTTCCTTATTTGTTTTTTAAAACTGGTGGTTCGTTCGGGTCGGGCTGGTTCATTTGCACCGGCCTTTTGATATAGCGGGCCGGTTCTGGGCACAGCGTTTGGGACCCGCCGACCTACCGGGCCGGGTCATGAACCTGCCCGGCCTTTGAACATGTCTGCGCACACCGTTTCAAATATAATTATATTGGTTAAATCCCACGTGATTATATGTGTGTTAGTTAAAAAATTTATGCTAAATTCTTAAAATAAAATGTGATATGGAAGATTTTCAAATTAAATTTCAAATACTTTTAAAAAAATACTTTATAAAATGTGATACAGAAGTTTTTCAAATTAAATTTCAATACTTTTAAATAAATACTTTACGATTTGCCCGACTTATATTATAATGTTATTTAATTAATAAGTAGTAATGAACATAATATTAGAATAGACATCATTTTTAGTGAATCAAAATATTAGCTACTGTATGAACGTGTCTTCTTATATCTTACGCGTTTAGGGTACATAGACTGAGGTCTAGTTCGTTTACTTGGTCAATATAAAACAAATTTATCCTCTCTATTGGATTCGTTAAATAATCTCGAATGTACTATGTAATCCATATAGGGTGGTATCGGTTCGGTAACTACAAATATGAAACCGTTAACGAACAGATTGTAATCGGTGACTAATCGGTTGGGTAACATAATCGGTGTCCTAATGCTTTACAAATTTTTGCAAAAATTGTTGCTCACCCCTATATTATTTTGCATACATTCTCATTAGAGATGTCAAAACGGGCCTGAGCCCGCGGGCCGGCCTGCCCCGCCCCGCCAAATGTGCGGGTTGGGTTGTAGGTTA